AAACATGCAAAGCTCAAGAAGAAAATACAAAGAAAAACAAATCATATCTTCCTCTCCAAACATGCAAAGCATAAAACTAACATTTAAATGAAAGAAAACCATAAACCATATTTTTCCCTGTGCAACACACTGACGTCACTGACGCAACAGTACGTGGACGGCAGGATTGTGATTGTTTTTTTTCCACAGTCCTCATTTTCAATAAAAGAGCAGACATTTACTGCTAAAACTAGAAAAAGTTGTAACCACAAATGTCAGGTAAATACTGTAAGAAAATGCAAAATTTATCTGGAAAAAAATTTTGCGTGTGCTTTTTTAAATTGTATTTTTCATTTAGCAGTTCAAGATCATGATAATTCCATAGATATAATAGCGACCTTTAAGCTATACCGTCTCAGTGACGGAGATGAAAACACAAGGAGAAACAAGCAAGCACGAAAATTATTGCACTTTTTTAAATGAATCAAGTGATTAGAATTTTTTGTGCGATTAATTGATTATTGCGACAGGCCTTCTCAAGACTTGAGACTTGACTTGGACTTGAGCTCTCAAGACTTGAGACTTGACTTGGACTTGAGCTCTCAAGACTTGAGACTTGACTTGGACTTGCAAAAAATGACTTGTGAACATGTCTGCTCTTAATCCTTGGTCTGGTACTGGGCTCTGGGGATCCAGAAAAAACAGAAGCATTGTTAGATGCAGGAGCAGCAACAGAAAAATTTAGGCTTCTTTGCCTAGAATTGTTTCTAGTTCGGAGTCTGTTATCCAATCGGATGGTTAACCTGATTAGATCTTCCAAACTAGCTGGTTCGTCAATTGTGGCGAGTTCGTCTTTGATGTTTTCATTTAAAGCCTTAAAATAGGCACTTTTAAGTGCGCACTCATTCCAGCCTGAGGCGGCGGCTTTAACCCGGAAGTCAGAACTCCGCCACCATCTGATTTCCCTGCTTTAAACTGAGCAAGGCTCGGGAGTCAATAGTTTTGTCAGAATCTTGATTGAAAACTTGAGAAAACTCAGTTAAAAATTCAGAAAAGGTACATGAAAAACTGGATTCAGAAGAAAACCTTGCCTCCGCCCATTCAAGAGCTCGACCAGTGAGTTTAGAGAGACTGAAGGCAATTTTCTTTTTATCATTAGAAAAACTGACAGGGGAGTGTTCAAAAATCAAACGACACTGGAACAAAAATCCCTTGCATTTGTTTTGAATACCTGAAAATCTTTCAGGGAGACTTGGACGGAACTCCGGAAGTGACGTGACAATTTCTGACCTTTGAGGCGGAAGTGGCTGTGAAACAGGAAGTTGAGCTGGCTCCGCTGCGGAGTTAGCATTGCTGAATTGACTGGTTAATTCCTGTAACATAATACTCTGTTGATCCAAACGTGTCTTAAACTCATGGAGGGTAGAGAAATGATCTTGTAGAAACACTCCTTGCTCCTCAATCATCCTCCGGAGGTGATCTGCTGGGTTTTGTTGTTGGCCGGAGTGTTCTGTCATGATGGGTCTCTAGAGTATAAACCCACATGCAGAACACCACAGAAACGGGGTAAAAGTTTAACAGTTTATTAAAGGATGAGCACACAGAATAACAAGAGCTGGTTCTGGTATAGGTCTGGGACAGCAATCACTGAGAATCTGCAGAGATGGATTGTTTGGTTAGCCAGGCAGCGGAGAAGTCTTGATTGATGTTTGAGTCAGATTTCTACCTTGATGAGGTTCAGACAGATCACTGGAGAGCGGGAACCAATTGGGTCCAGAGACAGTGGGTTCAGCAGAGAGCTCAGCAGCAGCAGCGTCTAGCTTCAGGCTAGAGAGTTTCAGACCTTGACTTGATGTCCTAGCTCTCCCTTGAGAGCTGGCTGGGGAATCCAGACTGATTGTCTTCAGGTTTGGCTTCCTAGGGCAGGCAGGCAGGTTTCCAAGCTAGTTCCTTCAGAGCTACAGACTTCAGTCGTACTTTCCTGTGAGCAGAGAAGACAGAGGCAGGTTAGAATCTAGTTACTCTCAAGAGCAGACTGAGATTCTCAACGTGAAACAGAGGCTCAGGTTCCGCTAACCAAAACTGGTCAACACTCCGGCGAAGAAGACAGGTCTGGCTGCTGCTTATGTAGGAGGTCTCCTGATGGGCTGATGATCCTCAGGTGTGCTGAAGGCTCCAGCCCAGGAGACCCACAGCGCTCTCTGCTGGAGACAGGTGGCAGATCTCCAGATCCCAACACAAGTAGATAATTTGTCACTAAAGGTTGAGGGAAACTGAATGAAATGGATAACAAAACGAATAATAACGTAATTTAAAGCCAAATCAGTCCAACCACAGTGAATGTTTTTGTAATTATGACTCATTTAGTGAAAGTACTTCATGCAGAGGTTCAATTTATTTACAAGCACTATCTTTGGTCACTTTATAACTTAATCATAGTTAGGCAAATCCCTGATGAGTTAAGGTTCAAATAACTAATTGCTGAACTACCCTTTTTTACTAAAAAACACTAGTTTAACAAACTGGTATTACAACTTTTCACAGAAGTTATTCATAAAGGACGGTGATAAAGCTTTCCACTGAGCAACAGCACATGTTCCTCTGGCCCTTTACCAGCAGCATCTCCAGACTGACTGTGATACTGTGATGTTCATTCAGCTCAGCTGTTCCACAGAACAGGATGAGGAAATTCAGTAGGGACGCCCAGACCTCCTGCTTGGTGCTGTCATTACAGCTAGTTCTGCCATCAACTGTTGGGACCTCAGCAGTTTTACTTTGCCGTTTCCTCTGTAACAGACCCATGGATCAGCTGGCTGATTGTGACCTGCTTGCTCTGCAGACATAATACTTTCTCATTTGTCATGAAAACAGTGCCTAATGTTTGATATATAGTTTTAAAATGTTAATAACACAATATTGACATTTTCCAGTATTTTTTATAGACCAATGTTTTTTCACCCATAATCAATGTAATCATTTCAGGGGCATTTTGATCAAAAAAACCTCTGCTATTCAGAGGACTCCAGTGCCACTCAGTGACTGATTGAGAAAACGGGAGTAATTGATGCACGAGAATGACTGAGAGCTGGAACTGTGTTTTTTTATGACCAGCTGCTGAGTTCTTTGTGGATTCAGCTATGGCTATGCATTGGGTTGCAGGCTTTTGCTCCAACCCCCATAAAAGTGTGTTCACACCCAGCATGAAACCTGCAAAGATTTCTCCAGTTTCTCCAGCTTTTCCTCTAACTAGAAAAAGCAATTCACCCAGCGGGTGAAAAACTACTCCATCATGGAGTCTGCTGGTCATTGGTCTCACATTGACATGGTGGACATGGATTTATGGCGACTGGCAGTGCACTTTTTGGGGATGCAGAATACATCCACATCTTGTAGTAGCTGCATCTGGATGGTGGTCACTTTCAGCGCTACTTTCTTCAATCTGTGACCAAGCTTGGGGTGCTGCTGTCTGGCACCAGGGATGGATCACCCGAACATCAGAGGGAAGGTAAGACGGCATCCTGGAGCTCAGACATGAGCAGGAGGAAATGAGTGCGAGAACAAGGGCAGATAGAGAAGCAGTACCGTGACCAGGCTGCCAGCCAGGAAATCCTCTGGAGCTAATGCAAAGAATTTTTCCTGCCAAAACCCAACACCACACATTTTCCATCTGAAAGCACAATTTCCTCTACTTACATTCAAAACTTCTGCTTTTTCTAAAAGCTCTTCTCTTCTTCATCAGGTCTTTTATCTCTGCTAACAGATCTGATGCTTCTTGCACAGATATTTTCTCCTCTTGTTTAAACCATTCTGTTCAGGTCAAAAAAATGCTCGAAAAACCCGTCAGCTCTGCTTGTGGATTGTTTTGCTCTCTCTCAGACCGGAGTCAGATCGTAGCTCAGAAACCTTTGCAGGCAATAAAACAGCAGCCTCAGAAAGGGTGCACTTATTTTCTTCTACTGAGTTTGCCTGTTACTGCTTACTGATAATAAAATTGCTTCAGAGTATGCTAGTTATTCCAGATGCTCTAATTCAGATCCAAGGGTGATCCTGATGAGAGCCCTGGGTCCGAGGTCCAGGGGCACACCACCCCTCAGTGGGGCCCTCACTGAAGGCCCATGCCCGGCAGCTGCCAGAGATGAGACACTGACCACAAGCAGCCCCAAGCACCACCCCAGGTCCAACCCCAGGTGAGATAACCCCCCCCAAAACGGTCTCGGTCACAGTCCTTCCACGCTATCCCCCCAGAAAACCACAACCCCACCCCCAACAGACAACATAGCAGGTACCCAACTTGCTGGACAGGGCACCCCACCCCAAGCCGCTCATAGCCATTCCAGGCCCACACAACCATTGTCCTCTCATACCCATCTCTACCAGGCAAGCATAACCCAGGTAGTCCAACCCTCTAGGTCGACTATGGTGGGCCAGCCATCCGAACAAAAGTGCCCAACAGCCAGAGTGCAGGGTCAGGGCAGGTATCAAGGCTGATGCACACCACCGGCTGATATGCATCTGGACATGGTGATTTTATTCTGCCTGCCTTACACCCAAACCAGCCAGCCTGCCACCCTGTAAGAATGAGGCCAAACCCTGCGATGTCCCAGACCCCCACCTGATGCCAGGAACCGGCATCCCCCCTCCCAGCAGACAGACAAGACATTCAATCCATAGGACGGAAGCCGAACGGCCGGAGAACCCAAGGTAAGCCAGAAAACCCAACCAAGCCATGACTAACCCCAAATCCACAGCCCCATCCCCAGATGGAGCAGAGAGAACAGAGGTTGGAATGGCCCTATGCCAGCCCCTCTCCTAGTCTCGGATGTAGTGTTGTTGCCTGTTGGAGTACTGTGTATTTAAAACCGGAGGGAGGGGGCCCCCCACCTCTCCCACTTCCAAACAACAAAATTTAGTTGTGAGAAGAGGGGCTGTGAAGACCGACATGATGTGATGAAGATTCTGGTGAATTTAGACTTGGCTGAATCTGCTGAAAAATACTTCATTTAAAAAACAGATAAGACCTGTTCAGTGTGACTGAGAAGCTGTTGAACATCTTTTATTTTAGCATTTGGTTCTGACCTGAGTCAGAAAATGATACAAACTGATGCAAAGCTAAATGATGGATATTGCTGGTGATAAATCAGAACCAGGACCCATTAAATAGATCAGCACACAGAGAACAGACATACAGAGCTTCATCTCTGGGCTGTAAAATAAGATTTATGTATAAAATGTGGGCGCTCCTCCACAGCCCTACAGTCAGTGCTCAGGGCACCCTCTGCTGGTGACATCTTCACAGGCAGCTCTCTTCCTCTTCATCAGGGGAGCTGGATGAAGTAGGTGGCTCTGTGGCGTCTGGCGGTGGTGTCACTTCCTTTGACTCCGAGATGGCGGCAGGTTCTGACAGCTGAGGACTGAAGAAGAAGCAGAGTCATCACTGAGGAACAACCATCACTCAGTCTAGATTAATTAATCAAATTTGATGATCATTGAAGAGGCTTGGTGGACAACTTACAACTGATCTGTCAAAAGATCATGCTTTTTTTTCGCTAAAAAAAATCATTAAAGATCATGCTTATCTGATTTCTGCTTGTTTCAGCTGCTAAAGCTGTGAATCACCAAATCGCAACGCGTTTGTCTTTCATGACCCTAGACCCAAACAGGAAGGAAAGACCAACATAAATAGCAGAACCAGGACCAGGGCTGGCTCTGACTGGCCCTACTGAGGTTTAAACCAGTGTGGCAGCTCTCCATGGGAACTGCCATTTCCATCACTGCACACTATAGGCTCAATCTGTGCTAAAGTTTTGTCAACAGGAAATCAGGACAACAGACGATTCACAGCACAGAGCTTCTCCTCTTTCTAGCATCAAAACTATGTTGTTACTTCTAACAAAATGAAACTTTGAGCTGTTAGCAAGGCAGACAGTTGAACATATGTAACTTACAGTCAGTTGCTGAGGGTCAATGGTTGATCTACTCGGTGTTAAGGTGGAATAACAAGATATTCTGTTCCTACATCACTTCCACGAGATTTATTTGGTTGACAGAGACAAGAAGTCATGATTAAATGTATAGAGGACAATCTTTAATTTCCAGGTGGATAATTTAAATAAGTGGTCCTTCTAATTGTCAGTCATTATGGTGATATGTTTACGAAAGGCAGTTCTATATTAGCTATCTTTTTCTGGCCATGCACACTTTCAGACGTACTGTATATCTGTGGTGAGCTACGGTTTCAGCCAATCATTAAAGCTCACCTGTCTCACCGAGGTTCTTTAAAAAATGGTAGAGGGTCATAAGAGAAAAAGTGTTTACGAATTGTATGAGGACAAAAGAAAGGCATTTTTTAAGATAAACAGTGTAAACTCCCTAGTCTGTTTCTCTCAATACACACCTCAACCAACCCGTATCCTCCCTCTGGATCAGAACCTTCCTGTATCCTCACCAGTATCTTTGAGCCAGAGGGAGAATTTTATTCTTCTTGGCCCGTAGCTGTGAACATTAGCTGACTGTATGCACAGTTACATTTAAAGTCAACGCTGTCCCACACACTGGTAACAAACTTGGTGCAGCCTCAAAGCTCAAAAGTTCACAGTTCTTCTAACAATGGTACATTAGAAAGCTATATACACTACTCAAAACATTAAAGGAACAATTTGTAATCAGAGTATAGCATCAAGTTACTTAAACTTCTGGGATATTGATTTGGTAAGGTAAGTAGCAGAGGGGGCAAAAAAGACATTGAAAAGACATTGAAATCTGGGTTTGCAACGTCTTCTTAATGTCTATTGATGGACTAAAGTGGGACAACATAAGACGTACCAAACACACCCCAATTTTCGACAAGTATTTCGGGACTAAATCAAAACTATGACGGAGCAACCAGATTAAGCCTAAAAACCAACGTCTGAATGACGTCTGGTATTTGGAGGGCTGTGACCCACAAAGAATAAAACATGAAACACACAGCTTAAGGTTTAAGTTGTATCTCAATGCTTCCTGCTTTGACTGCTGACCTACGTTTTGTGGTGCTGTTCATGCTATGAGGTAAGTTCTCTCCTCTGTGATATGAAATATCAGTGCTGCTGCCATCAACACCTTTGTTTACGGATGTTGGAACTTGGACTGTTTTACAGTGTAGTTCTGGTTTTTCACGGTGACTAACTGTATGTGCTCTTTCATCCTCTGGCGTGGGAGCTGGTTTGGAGCTCGTCCGCCTGGCTCTGTGTTTCCTGGACGCAGCTGCCTGTGGAGCTAATTGAAAGTTACCTTTTGTATCTTTCTGCTTATTGTGAGAGATTGCGGGAGAGTCAAGGAGTTGATGCAGTCAGCTGTTTTCCCTTAGATAGAAAATTTTGAACCAATCTCTCTGTATGATCTGGTTGAAATGTCTCTATAAAGTGACTTTAGATGACATGTATTGTGAATTGGCACTATAGAAATAAACTGAATTGAATTGAACATTCTATACTGGACTCCTTCTCAGACCTACTAAACAAAACTTGACCAGGTTCTAGAAGGTACCTCACTGCGTCCAGCGCAGCGATGGTTTCTACGGTGACATCAGAGACAGGGATGATAAAAGTGCTGTGGGAGGGGCCAGGCCCGTCTGGCTCTACTCCCAACTGGTGAACCTTGGCTTCTGAGGCAGGATCTCCTGTGAAGTGAAAGAGCTGTGAGTTTAGCTTCCAATCTTAGATTTTACTGAGAAGAATATGTCTGCAACCTTTTTGGTTGTTCCTCTGTCCATCTGTTTCCTCTGCAGCTTGTCTGGATAAACTGGACTGAACTACAGCTGGATTCTTTCCTTTCAGGAAGTCCTCCGTAAGCTGGAGGTAACGCTGAGGATCAAGAGAAACATAATGTGGTGTTCTTCTCAGGAATAGCTCCACTTCACTCCACTTTATGACTGGACTATACAGGTGTGCTGACCTGTCTGTAGTCAGCACTCAACATGGCACCAACAGTAGAGACCAATGAGGAGAAAGAAGGTCTGGACAGAGGATCTTCATCCCAGCACTGCTTCATTACTTCATATCTGTAAAGATGTGAGGAAGACCATTATTTCCTCTGCCAGAGCAACATACAGGATTGGTTGATGGACTTCATGCCCACCACCACCCACTCATGGTTTGGTGGTGTAACTTAGACGAGACCTACAGGCTGAGGTTCCTTCAGAACTTCACTTTCCACACTGTTTACATTCGATCCCTGCTGCGCTTTATAAAATGGAAATGTTAATTTCACTGCTAAGCTGCTGCTTATTTGCTGTCTGAAAGCTGTACAAAAAGAAATTTCGTTTTGTATATACTGTGTGTATACAAAATGACGCTAGAATTAGTGTAAGTCTAAATCTAAGGCTGAGGAACATCTGTCATTCCTTATTAGTGGTGGCACCTTGAGGGTAGAAGGACCTCCAGAGATCAGTGAACCTGAAAGATCTGGTATCTCTGCTGAGTCCAGTCAAGTAGAGGGAAGAGCTGCTGTTCCTAACCTGGACCTGGACCGGTACATGGACCTGGATTTTTGGGCCATTCCTCAAAGTTGAGGTTGGAATAAAGGTTCTGACTGATCCTCCCTCTTGGTGTGACTCTGTATATGTGATGTAACAAGCGTTAGTGTGATATCATACATGACAGACGGCGCATGTTCTGGTCGGTCCATTCTGTGTCCTCTCTTCAGAGCAGAACCAAACTGTCGGGTTGTTCGGAGTTCAGGGTACGGACTGCGACCTTGGACAAAGTACACAACCATCACATTATGTGGAATAGTGATACCGTGTCTTTAGATGTAAACTGGTTAGAAGAGGGACTGGCAACCTGTCCAGGGCATACCCTGCCTCTTGCCTGTAGACAGCTGGAGATAGGCACCAGCACCTCTTGCGACCCCACTTGGGATTAAATGTGTCAGAAAATGGATGGATGGATGGTTAGAACTGATTACCCAGAGAGAAGATCTCCCACAGTAAGACTCCATAGGACCAGACATCGCTCTCAGAGCTGTAGATGTTCTGGAAGATGGTCTCTGGAGACATCCACTTCAGCGCCAGGAAGCTCTGAAAGGAAAGGAAAGCAGTACAGCTGAGAACCAAGCCTAATGATGAAATAAAACAGGGACAACAGCTGATGAATTCACTGACATTCCCCCTGATGATGTAGTCTTGATCCTTCTGAAGGTCTCTGGCCAGCCCAAAGTCACAGACCTTCACCAGCTTCCCATTACAGACCAGGACATTTCTGGCAGCCAGGTCTCTGTTGACACACTGAGAGAACAAGAGATTGACAATAAACAATATGTTAGATGGTGGATTGGTTCCATAGACACATCAGGAGCAACAGGTCAGAGATGAGACGCTATCTGTGCAGTAGGTCAGCGGATCTATGGGCTTCCTGAAGGTCTTATCTTCTTCTTTTTTATACTTTTTTCATAACAGTTATTCAACAGAACTGTCCAAAAGGAAAATGCAACCCAATCCAAAGGACAAGCCAATGTCTCATCACATGAAACAAACTTCCCATAGAACCAGAACCAAACTGGATCTCCAAGCTCTTTGACCAACAGGCTCTCATAGATCTGTTAATCTGTCCCCTTTTCTTTTTTGTGAATAAATGAAAGATTTTACAACCAGGTTAGTCTGACAGCCAGGAAACATCTCTATCCAGGCGCTCACCAAGCAGCTGGAACATCTCAGTCAGGTTTAGAATCCTTTACTAATCCAACTGGACCAAAGGAAGTTAAATGGGTCTGACTGTTTGATGCCAGCAAACCTGGAGTTAAAAACTAGCAAACCAGCTCTGTTGCGTTTGCTTCCTAGGTGAAGCCATAGAAAGATCCATCAGTGGATCCTTCTCTGGGGTTCCTACATGGCTCTTAACTTCTCAGATGTTCCCACCCTTAAATTTCAGGATATCCAAACTAGTTTTCTAAACTTTTAGACATTTGACTCAAACATATTGTGGTGGGAAAAAATCTATCTATTAATAATCTATTAATTCACTTTTTAATTTTTTTTATATATTAGTACTGTCTTTCATTTATTTTCAGGCCTGAGAGGCCAGGCTACAAGGTGTCTAATAGAAAGGGGTTGTTTATCATATCAGGGATTGTTTGGGATAAAAATGATCTCTCTCATAACAAGCTAGACTGTTTCTCAGGGGTTTAATTTTATGTTTTATAACATTGTACTGTTTTCTCCAACTGCCTGTAAATTCTAACTGTATGTGGAGACCTTCACAGCCTTTCTGCAGGGTTTAAGTTAGTGAGAGAAAAACTTTGTCTGGTCAGAGCAGGGCTGGACTTCATATCATCTTATTCTCTTTCTTTGCAAATAAAATAAAATGAAGACTAAGTGAAATCCATCGATCTCCTTTATTTACCTGAACTACATAGTTAAATGCATTTCCCCACATTTTTCTATAAAAGTAAAATCACATGATGCTCAGACTTGCTCTGATCCAGCAGAATTAGTAATGACTTTTTGATCTTCTGAAATGGTTCATCAGGCAGCATTTGGTGCATCAAATGCTGTCCAAGCCGAAGATAAAATGAGTCATCTGAAAACGATCTGACCAACCCACTTTTACTTACTGTCTGTCCAAACCTAAAGGGTAGTTTCAGTTTTTATCGAGTTTGAACTCCAGCTGATCATCCCTGGTTAAAAGTTTGAATTTTCTAACTGAAGTTGAGTTCATTTTGACAGTGATTCTTTAAAACACAGCTTCTAGAAAAGCTTTATCTACTTTCTGCCAGCAGAAAAAGAAATGTTTTTTTTAACATTAGAATGTCTATTGAATCAAACTTGATAAAACTTTATGAGGGTTTTTTGTTTATGTTTACCAGGATCGTTGAGGATCCAAGACTGAAGTTAATTTTTGATTAATCTGATCTGATAAGTTGCTTTTGTAGGAGAAAAAAAGAAATTTACAACAAGAATAGGAAAATGTTGTTGCAAGAGGTTGAATATATGCAAAAACTTAATTTAGGGAAGGGATGGTACCTTCCTGGAGGACAGGAAGTCCATGGCCTGAGCGACCTGGAAGGAGAAGCTGAGCAGGTCTTGCAGAGTGAGAATGGGGGAGTCACTGAGTAGGAGCGATGTCACCTCCTGGTAGACTGAAAGAGAACAACAGTGATGATTACCAGCTTTTTCTCTTCATCATCTTGTTCTTGTATGAGTCACATGACACCTCCTGGGGGGGCTGGTTCATGCACAGCATCTCTGAGCTCTTTCAGAGGGACATAACGCCCCCTCTCGTCTTTGTTCATGTCCATGTAGCCTCCATCACTGTTACTGTGGGTGAGAGACACTGAGTAAGAGCTGATAGAGAGAGAGAGGTCAAAGGTCAAAGAGTTGGGTTACCTCCTTCTGGGCGCATCCATCTGACCAAATGTGGCTTTGTTCCGATGCAGGTAGCCTAGCAGGTCTCCGTGAGGACAGAACTCAGTGATGAGGTAAACCGGACCTGGACACACAGAAGCTGACTTTATTCTGATGGTTTAACTCTGAACCGCGTCTGGTTCTCTCAGACAACCTCCTGGATTAGTTCTGCTAAACCCTTTAGATCAGAGGTCTTCAACTCTAACCCTGGAATACAGTACTTATGTCCTGCAGCACTTGGATGCGTCCCTGGTCCCCTGAATGAAATAGCTGAATTACGTCCTCACTGGGCATCCATGACCATGGCCAAAAAGGTTTTGCGGGTGATTGACAGGTCGAGTCGCGGGAGTTGGAGACGCATTAGAGAGAGAGAAAGAAAGAAATGGCACAAGAAACTTTTTTTTCCAGGACCTGCTTTAGCAAGAAGGCTTGGCTAACTGCATGCAGTGAGGCTAACTGTAATGGTTTTGGTTCTGTTAAAGTTTTATCTCCGAGTTTTTGTTGGTCTTATTTCCATTTTTGTGTTCTAGTTACTTTTGATTGTATTTGAGTTTTTGGATATTTCTTGTTTGCCCTTTTGTGTCAGTCTACTTTTCCCTAGCTCCCTCTTGCTTCTGGTCTCTTGCCTGGTCTTTGTTTCTCTCACCCAAATATTCTCCTCCTGTTCAGTCACTCTTAGCTGTTTTTTCAGTAGTTTTGGATTTTTGTTCCTTTTATCCTTTTTGTTTTTAAAATCTGAAAGTAACGACCTTCAGCTATTGTGTCTGCATTTGGGCCATCCTGTCAAACCTCCCACTCCACCGTTACTCTAACACTTTATTCTGCTTTCCTGCCTCGTTTTTAAACATCAGGATCTGACCCAGCAAGGAAAAGTACAGGTAGGACTGATTTAAATCGCTTTTTAGAAAAGGTAAAGAAGAATAAACAATCTGGGATTCACATGGAAAATAATATAATATAGTGAACTTTTTCTAGGTAGTTGTTAATTTGCATTATTGGTCTTAAATAAACACATTCTCAGAAAAGAAATAGTTTTATATATTAAAAAAATATAAAGCTGACCAAAAGCTTTTACATTAATACATAATTTTTTTGAGGTTTATGACACCATATTGGACCATGCAAAATCCATGAAGTGTTTTTATAATGCTTTTTGTTGTTGGCATTCATATAGATATACTGGTGTGATAACTTGGTATTAGTTTGATTCGTTTTTTGTATACCGCTATTTTGAATTTATAGCCCCCCCAAACCCATCCCCAACCTCCAAAGTAATGGAACCAAACACAACTTTTCTGGTACAGAAAACATCAGGTTCTTAAATGTGTACCTTGTGAGGTGCAGGCTCCCAGCAGGTTGACAATGTTCAGATGAGGACCAACATAACCCAAAACCTTTAATTCGGACATCAGGGACTGAACTCCATCCCTTTTGTCTGCAAAAAACGGATGCACAGAATCATATATGCTCTGTGGAATTCAGGACCTTAAAAACAGAACCCAATAAGGTAAAAGTCCTACATTTCATCATCTTCACTGCAGCTTTTGTTCGTGTGTCAGAGTCAGTCAGACCAGAAACTGTTGCCTCAACAATACGTCCAAATGGACCCGAGCCCAGGACCTGACCTGGAGTCGAAATGCATACAGATTCATTCCGGGTCAGGTTGAAATGAATTTTTTAAATATGTGTGAAGAACTGTGGGTTCACCTAGTACCACATGGTCCCTGGGTATTTCCCAGGTTGAGCTTAAAGGCAAGTCTTCAGGGTCCACGTAGGTCCACTGGTGTCCTTCAGAACTTGGGGACTCGATGAGCTTCCAGCGAGGTTCATAGTGAGGTTTCTGCATACAAGAAGAGCAGAGCAAAAACTGAAGACACTGAATGTGGACACAATCTGTCCAATAGTAAACCAATGACCTCACTGACATTTCTCCAGAGAGCAATGAGGATGATGAAGAAGATGACACCCAAAATCACCAGAACCAGAACTGCAACCAGAACAATGAGTTGGGAAAGGAGAGCTGGAAACAAGAAGAAGGGTTGAGTCATTGAGGAGCGTAGACATGCATCTCCAGAAGACCTAAGACCTCTTTACAGACACGGAGGAGCGTTTATTAGAGACGGAGGTTGTAACTTTAGGTGATGATTTGGTACCAGAAGACAGGGAACGGAATTGAGCTTCCTCCACAGATATCGTCACAGATCATTCAAAGACCTCCTTGATAACGAGGCTTTAAGCCACTGCTCAAGGAACCTGCAGAACATCTGAACCTTCTGGAGGTTGACCTTCCCTCAGGTCCAGCAGCGGTTGGATCCAGAACTCTTGGATCATGAATCAGATAATAATAAATCATTACTTTTTTAATTTAGTGGGGGAATAATAATTAACACAGTCAGATAAATACAAATCGAATAAACATTTTGCCAAATAAAACAAAAAAATCGCTATCGTAGCCAGCAGTCTTTCACACGCTATGCCGATAGAGGGCTGCTGCAGACGGACTGTGGTTATCCCTGGCTGCCGTTAGTCTTGGAAGTCTGCTGGTTGCCGCTGTCCTCTCAATTTCGGATTTTTATTTTTTAAATCATGCATTAAATCCGTAAATGGACCATATAGTGAGGCTTTAAGGTATAATATTCTCCCCTCAAATGATCTTAGGTGATCATTTTTATTAAGCAACAGAAAAGAGAACTTTTGACTTTCAATCCATTGAAAGCTGCTGCTGCCGCAGTGCATGCTGGGACAGCTGTCAATCAATATTGAGAAAAAACAGCCTGTCGGTAAAACTGCGACTACATCCTTCTTAAAAATGAATGAGCGTAGAGCCACTCCTGCTCACGTTTCAATGAAAACCCCAGGTCTAATCCTTGGAAAACTGATTCTAAAGCTGAGTCAAACGAGAACTCTTCAATAGCAGTCCAAAATTTCAAAACACATCTCTGCATAGTGATTGGCCTGCCAGTTCTATGGCCTGATGCATTGATCGAGGTCAGAAAAAACTTGCAGGCAAGAATTATTTCTAGGGGCTAGTTTACTAGGCTAGAAACCCAAAACAGTTCTGTTCTCATTCGTAGCATTTGTTTCGATGTCTCACTATGGGGGTACGCCCCTTGCTGTATTCCTCCAAAGCATTTATCTAATTACGCCAATCCTGATTGGCTGGTGATCACAATGACTGTGTCACCTATCCTATAAGTAGCTAGCGCTATGACACAACATCATTCAAAAACCTCTTCTTGCTTCAAAGCTTATCTCAGAGAATACTATCTAAACTGTCCTTGCACGTGGAATATTTTTAGCTAACTCTCCATTATTGGGCGTTACCTGCCTCAACTCTAGTCTTTACCATAGTCTGGAGTTATTGCCACCTATATTAGCACACCAGTTAATATTACCTGTTTTGAGCTTTCACTCCAGTCCGCTCAGACCTGTTCTTCCCCAAGTTCAGCTAGCTACCAGCAACCGAAATGGACCCTGCTTCTCCTCACACCAGAGGATATAGCAGCTTGGAGGGTGACCTTTGCAGGTGCGGGAACAAAGTTTCTAGCAAGGGCACACAACAGGTGTGCTTGACATGTCTTAGGCTGGAACACACCCAACAGGCATTTGAGGCCCCATGTTCATTAACGGAATGTTCCTGCTTCACTACAAAGAGCCTCTGTAGACGACTAGTGCGCCAAGCTAGCCTCTCTGTTGGACACCCATATTTTCCGTCGAGCGAGCTGCCACCCAGCAACAATAGTGAACCGGGGGTGGACTGTCCACAGTGCTATGGCCAGCTGGGGTTCCCAGGTGGATTTAGCCGCTACGCTCTCACCAGCCAAGGACAACCTAGAGCTGGACTACGACGAGAATAAAGAGGAAGTCATCCCGCAGCTCCTCGTTTCAGAGGATGACGATGAGGATTCATTCTTTCTTCCAAGCCCACTGGATGCAAAGCCTAATGCCCTTTTGGCTCACCGGGAAGGCAAGGGGAGCGCAACAGCCTCCCCAGCCATAAGCATGGACATGCAGACAGTATGCAAACGTGCTGCATCCAGGCTCACATCCCCTGGCCTAAGGTAGTAGCAGAGAAAACCAGATCATGTTACAAGGGGAAGAAATTGCCCCAGACAACTTGGGCAGTAAAACAGTTGCTTCCTGTTTTCGCTGAGCTCCTGGACAAGGTAGTGGTCTCCTAGAAGGACCGCCTGTTTAGCGGGAAAACTCTGATTTAGTGAGCTTCCTCTCCGGACTGCAAAGGCATAGAACAGCGGGGCATCACAGCTGGCCTTTATTGGAAAAGCTAGTGGCAGCACACCTCACACTTGTCAGGGTCCTCAAAGAACCCCACACTGCCATCCAAAGCAGACTCTTTCCAGATCGCCTTGATAGAAAGAGCTTATAAAGGAGCAGCAGTTGCTGTGAGAGCTCTGAACCTCCATGCCCTCTGCATACCAAGCAGAACTGTGTGAGAACATGGCCACCAAACCATACACAGATGTGTGGGAAGAAATCACAGCGATAACAGACATCTGCCTCCGCATGCAGCACTGCGCAGTCCAGGACATTGGAAAATCTATTGAGATGATGGTTTTACAGGAAAAAGTAAAAAGAGTAGAGTACCTTTCAGACCGTGAGAGGGATGACGTCTTGGACATTCCATCAAGACAGAACCCCCCCCTCAGGTGGCATCAAGGCAGCCATGCCCCCAGGCGATGCCTTGGCCCCTGCTTTCAAGATCTCCAGGCAGCGAAAACCCCAGCCCCATCCTCCTGTCCTGGCTGGCCAGGAAGGGAGATGGGGTTGGCCTGAAAAGTCTTCGGCTCCTCCGGCGGTTCCTGCTTTGGGGCAGCCGAGCCAGACCTCCAGTCATCAGCACAGGAAAAATAAGAGGGTGACCTGACAGTGAAGCCCTCTTGCTAGTGATGGAGTTGAGCATTCCCTGTTCACCAGCTCCGCACACCCTCCAACCCTCTGCTGCGAGACATTCCCACAGCAAAAGGACAAGGAGGCTCAACTGCCGGGACAGCTGGATCTATCTCAAGTTGCATAATCACGCAAACTTGTTCAGAAAATAAAACAAAGCATGTTTCCCTGTTGCAATCAGACCAAAGTTCAAGCGCGTAGAGTGGCAGAGTGGCAGCCTAGTGTTTAGGGCATAGAGCTTGGAATCCTGAGGTTCTGAGTTTGAGCCCCACTCCCACAGACTGCCACTCTGGTTGCTGAGCAAGACCCTTAACCCCACACTGCTCCCTGGGCTTCCCTTTATGGCAGCCCACTGCTCCCCAAGAGGATGGGTTAGATGCAGAGGTAAATTTCTCCTATGTGAGATCAATAATGTTCAATTATTATTATTCTCTCTCTGCTCAAAAACACAGGTGGTCTTCCCTCACAACATCAGCCTGGGTTCAACGCACTATAACGAGGGGATTGGCTTCAGTTTGCCATGACACCCCCTCCCTTTACCGGCATAATTTACACTGTGGCTCGGGTGCAATCTGCTCACACACTTAAGCAAGGAAATCTCTGTGCTCCTGAGGAAAGGAGCAATCAGGGCCGTTCCGGCGGAGCAGAGTCACAGCGGCTTTGATCCAGGTATTTTCTAATCCCAAATCGGGGAGGGAGAGGGATTCACCCAATCCTAGATCTCAGGGCCAAAAACAGTTGCCTCAGGAAGTTCAAATTCAGGATGCTCACACATGCTTCCCATTATGTCTGATTCATCGGGGCAGTTTGTTCTCCTTGATCAATCTAAAGGACCCATATTTCCACATTTCAGTGAACAAGTACAAATACTTGTTGGAAGCACTTGTTGGTTACTTGCTGTTACAAGTACACAGTGCTCCCATTCAGCCCCTCCCTGAGCCCGAGAGTGTTTGTGCGCAATACTGAAGTGTTTGTGCGCTATACTCAGCCGTCTGCACATGAGAGGATTTCAGCGTTGGGTAGCTTGACTCAGACTCTGCCCTGTGTGACATGTTGAGAGTGTGTTGAGTGTGTTGGGGCGCTGTGCCCCTGGCGCCCCCCAAGTTTCTTAAAGCAGGGTATACAGCAAGGGGCGCATCCCAATATTGAGACATCACACTCATGCTACTCTGAGAACCGGGATTACGCAAGTAACCAATAGATTTCCTTCCACAACCATCTTGGAGAAGAGATTTACAGTTGGTAATGAAAGTTGTCAGACCCTTTACCTTTTTCACTCTGTTTCATTCCCGCCATTTAGTAAAATAAATTAAGTTCATTTTGTTTCCGATTAATGCAAATTTATATAAAAATACAACTGAAATATCACATCATCATAAGCATTCAGACCCTTTGCTTAGTATTGAGTAGAAGCACCCTTTAGAGCTTAGCTCTTTTTTGGGAATTATGTAAAACGTTTTTCCACACCTGGATTTTGGGATCCTTTGTCATTTTTCCTGGCAGATCCTCTCCAGTTCTGTTAGGATGGATGGTGAGCATTGGTTGTCATTTTCAGGTCTCTCCAGAGATGTTCAGTTGGGTTTAGGTCTTGGCAAGAATGGCCACAGAGTTGTTCCTTAGCAACTTCTTTGTTCATTTAGCTCTGTGCTTAAGGTCATGGTTTTGCTGGAAAGTGAACCTTCGGTATCAGGCAGGTGATGAGCAGTGCCTGGTTTTATCCACAAATACCACTTTGAATTAAGATTTTTATCTTGGTCTCATCAGACCAGAGAATCTTCATTCTCATAGTCTGGGAGTCCTCCATGTGTTTTTTGGTAAACTATGCAGGCTTTTAAATGTCTTGCACTGAGGAGAGGCTTCCGTCGGGCCACTTTGCCATAAATCCCTGACTGGTGGAGGGCTGCAGTTGTTGACTTTGTGGAACTTTCTCCTATTTTCCTACTGCATCTCTGGAGCTCAGTTACAGTGATCTTTGGGTTCTTCTTTACATCTCTCAAATGTATGCAATGAAACACAGAGTGAAATACTCAAAGGGGTCTGAATACTTTCTGTACCCACTGAAAATTTGATTGAGTATCTGGATAGAAAATTCTTAGTGTTAGTGGAGGACTGTTACACTAGTGCTGTAATACAGTGCCCCCCTGGTACTACAGTAGTAATACAGCAGTATTACAACACTATTACAGCAGTAGTACAGTAGCAATACTACAGAAATAGCACAACAGTACTCACAGGCTCTGAGGACCCGCAGGTCGCGGACCCGCCCTCCTGCGGTGTTGGTCGCTTCACAGCGAACAGCCGACACTGAGCTCAGAGTTTTCAGGGTCAGAACACTTCGTACCTGAACAGGTGACACACAGCAGTCAATCGTTGGTTAGCCAACATCCACCCCCACCTCTTTAGGATAATGTTGGTTACCCTGGCAACTCCTCCTTCTGTCACTGTGGTGGTGTTTTGTTCCCCTGATTGGCTCATCCAGCCATCACTCAGATTACTGCACCTGATGAAGACGACATTGATAAAAAAACAACGCCAGAGCTACAGGTCAGGTGTGTCAGAGTCTATACCTGATGGAGGCTGGACAGGTGTACCAGGTAACGGATGGGCAGGGGACTCCTTCACTGACACATAGGATGGCGCTCTTGTCCACTTCTACCAGAGACACGATCCTTGGGGGGGCTGCACAGAAACACAGGTCAGGACAGGTGGACCCCAGCAGATAAGGATTGGGGGACCAGTCAGAAGCCTTTCTCTGTCACCTGTGACCTCTAAGTAGAATGTGACCTCCTTGGTGTCATCCTCGTTGACTGCCGTCACCTTGTAGGTTCCTGTGTGTTCCAACTGCACCTGATGCAGGGTCAGGGTGCTCACATATCTGCAGCCAGAAGCAGAGCGTCAGTAAACCAACTGGCTGACCAGTCAGTCCTCCATGAACCCCCCCGTCCTCCTCAAATGGCCCCCAGCCTGGGAGGATGAGGCCCACTCCACCGATGGCTGCTCAGGTTAGAGACCACAGGAGAAGAACCTCAGTGTACCACACATGGTCGCACATAAAACCAGTACTGCCTCATCCATCATAAGAGCCTTCTCCAGGTAAATTCCTGGTCACACCTCTTCATACCAGCAACCCTTAATGAACATTGTTGTCTTGAAGAAATTCTTTTTGTGGATGGTTCAGACAGATTAGACACAAGTGGTCATATCACAGAGCTAACCCTAACCTGTCATGGCTGTGTTTAAAAAAAAAACACACATCTAAACACATCATTTATTTATCAACTCTAATCCAACCATAGCAGTTTGTACATGTGGATGTGGCTGTAGGGTGAGAGGGGCTTTTTACCCCCAATGCTGAGCCCTGACCGGACCAAGCAGAGCCTTGACACCTGAATGACCTGATTCTCCACAAACCAGAGGTGACTCTGGTCGGTTACTGGGAGGAGAACTTCCTCTCAATCATCAGCCTAACAATTAGTTGTTTCTGATCAGATGTTGGTATAAGTGTCCTAAAAAGCCAGATTTAAACCCTGACCTGAGGGGTGGTGCCCAGTGTGGGATAATCAGAGGGGGGCAGCGTGGGTGTGGTCAGGATGAGGTAGAGTCTTGACCTGAATAAATGATCCATGTACTAAAGATAAACGCCATGCTGATAAAGAGGAAAAGCTCCATCCATCTTTGCTCACAACTCCAACTCCTGAGTGACTGTGGTGTGTGCCCGAGTGAGACTGCTCTATGGTGGGTTTCATCTGTTCTTGGAAATCAGATACCATGTAGAACAGTGCTTTAGACACTGCTATGGTTGTAAGCATGGCTGTAAAGTCAATAAACAAGCCATGGAGATCAGCAACATGTCCATAAACACACTTTCATCTGGGAGGTTTTTCAACATTACAGTTGCACGTTTCAAGGTAAATAAAGCACAGCATTATATCCCTGCGGTTGGCTGTGAAATTGACAGGTAGCATTTTAACCAATCAGTGGATTCAATGGCAGTAGCCAAGTTTCACCCCATAGAGGACAGAACCAGAGGGTTTTAGGGTACATTAAAACTATTCTACCAGAACATCTAAAACAGATGCACAGCAACATAAACAAGGCACCCAAAGCATACACAGAATCACTTCAGTTTCAGGTTTATATTTAATATAAAGAGCATTTTGTAAGCCTTTGTACTTACAAAAAACTTCCTGCGCAAAATTTTAGTCACAACTCGGCCTCAACATGGATTGATGTTGTGTGAAAGTGTGTTTTTTGCTCGCTGCCGATTTCAAGATTTCTCCTAGCTGCAAATATTCAGCCTGAAATTTACATGATAATTAACAAAAAGAAAAACGCTTTTAACTGATGCTGTGATTGGTTAATATTCTAATGAGATTTTACTATTTATCAATTGGCTCTGATCTGTCTATTTTGCAACATTTCCTTGTAAACGAGTATGTGGTGAATAAAGATACCAGTATTGGATTCTCCCTCTCTGACCTACCTGTGGCCCTTCAAGTGAGTGGAGTTAATGCTTGCTGGGCTGATAGTGTAGTTAAGTCTGGACCAGGTGAGGTTTGGGGCAGGATGGCCATCAACCAGAACCTTCAGCTCAACGGTGTAGTGGACAGGAGAGGAGATGTTGGTGTTCCCTGAGGGGCGCAGGTGTACATAGCCTCGGTCTGCAGAAAGGAAGGAGTTAGCTACACTCATTCACCTGTCATTGTATGCCTGTGTCCATCTGAGACTATTCTCATTGCTGACCTAACATCAGCATGTTGCCCTGGCTGTCCTAACCTGTTCCTGTTCTCCTTTCTTTCCTAACCTGTTACTGTTTTCCTTGCTCTCCTAACCCATTGCTGTTCCCCTGGCTGTCACAACCTCATCCTGTTCTCTTGTTTGTTTGTCCGTGTTTTTGTGTACTGACCAAGAACAGTTATGGAGATGTTTTTTCTCACAGTCCATCTCAGTTGTGAGTCCTGAGCCTTACAAACATACACACCTGCAAGATACACAGTGTTACCATGGAGATTAGACAGTTTTCAATTAAAGCCAAATTATCAATTGGTATACCAACCTGTCACAGAAGCATGTACTGCCTTACAAACCCTTCTATCACACCTACCTGAGTCTGACACTGTTGCCATGGAGATGTTAACAAATGAGCGAATTTCATTGGGCAGGAAGTCTGTGAGAGGCTCTATTTCCTGTAGAGAAACCAGTGAGTTGATCACCATTGTAACTGAACATGATGATTCCGGCAATATAAAAACAGGAAAAGGTTTCTGTTTGACTTGTTTTTTTTATATTCTATTGTCAAGGTCTTTCCATACAGGTAATTCCTTATCCATTAAGTTCTTATAGGTTCCTTTTTTCCCAATGTATTTTGGTGTTTTGGTAGACCCTAATGTCTGTCTGGCCTTTTCTCTTTTTTGAGGACCCCTCAGTGGTTCAGCTTTCCATGGCTCTTTCCTAGCTGTTCTGAATTCTGTTCTTTTGATTAGACACCCCTGGTTTTTTAGTTGTTCTTCACTAATTTTCAGTTTTGAATGTCCTTGTTTGTTATTGTTTTGAGCTGGTTTCCTACTTTGAATCCACACTGGTTCCATTTTCTGCTTTCCTTATGCCTTTCCAATGCAAATTCCAATTTGGTCAGACAGTTTCCTTTGTTATTCAGACCTGGCATAACATTGAATCATTATCTGGAATATTGTGTAGGTGGGACACGTTTTCTCCAATATTTCAAAATAAGATTGATTGGAGGTAGACCCCCGTGTTGTGCCATATGCCATGATCATACTTTTTGGACACTGGGAACCAGTGTCCATATTTCATCTTGACAGGATGACCAGAGGAGAACACGCAGCTTTGGCTAATAACAGCTGGGGGTCTTCTGCGCCCCCCCCCCGCTCCTTTTCAGCCAAAACAGTCACAGGCTAGTTACATGGAAGCCACCAGAGGTGTGAAACCCTTCCTCCCTCTCTGAGAGGACAGAACAAAACCACAGAGCACACAGGATTCTCTCTCTTTTGCTCCTGATCTCTTTGGCTCCTGCTCTCCTTGCCTCCTCTACCTTGCCCAGGAAGCTGGGGTCCGCATGGCTGGTTCTCCACCACAGTGAAGATGCGGGCCCCATGGAAACCAGATCTCCAGAACCATCAAGGATAAGTCAGAAGCTTTCAGAATCAAACTGCTGCACAACAGACCTTTTGCAACACATTTCTCTTGAGTTTCAGAACTTATAGAACCAGACAGGATGAGAGAAGGACTGCCTTGACAAAGAACCCCTGCTGTGCCCTGACTGCAGAGCTGAAAATGGATGAAACTCAGGCCCCGTCCACACGAAGTCAAAACGAACACGAAACGCGGATATTTTCCAAAACGTTTGTCGTAAAGACGGAGACGTAAAATAAATGTGATCGTCCACACGAATGCATGAAAACGCTGCAAAATGTATGCCAGGCCTGTAAGTGGCGCTGTGGTGCCAAAGCAAAAATAAGCGACGAAATGTTGGGCATGCGCACTAATATTTATACATGGTTGCCCTGCGGGTCCATTTTCGTGGTTAAGTCACATTCAGGTGCTGAACTATGTCGTCGATATTGCTCTGTTCTTCCTGTAGATATTACAGAAGAAGAAGATTCTGTTATAAGCCCGACAGCAGGGTGACTAGCATTAGCAGCAACCATTCAACACAGTACGGCGCCATTGTTGTTGTGATACTGTGTCGTGCATGCGTGTTTAGAGGCGACGCTATGACGCATGCGTGTAAAAAAAAAATGCGGTTAGAGCTTAAAGATGGAAACGCAAAAACGGCGTTTCAGAATCTTCCCACTCTGAAGGCTGAATAAAAAAAAAGATCGTTTACAGACCCCCGAAACGCCGGCTTTGTGTGGATGAGAGGCTGGTTTGGTTAAAAATTTGTGAGTTTAGGCCAGGGTTTGACTTCGTGTGGACGGGGCTCAAGCTTTCCAAATGGACGTGTAAAAATGTTTGCAGGTCTGGCATAATTAGGGAATTTAATTACTAACTTTATGAAGTTTGATAATGCATATTTTAACAATAATTTTACGAAATTTACAGGGGAGGTTTAGCCTCCCCTGAGATGGAATGGCGACCTGTCCAGACTGGACACTCCCTCTCGTCTGTAGACAGCTGGAGATAGGCACCAGCACCCCTTGCGACCCCACTTGTGATTAAGGGTGTCAGAAAATGGATGGATGGATGGATGGTTTGACCTCCCTACTATTCAATGAGAAATCACCACTGGTTTCAACCATCACGGTCCTGCTACTGAATTAATGATCTGGGCTGGATTTATCGAGGGTTTTAACAATATCAGTTTTCTTAGCATCACAGTGGGCCAGCTCCTCTAGATAGTTCTGAGGACACAGTTGAAGCTTAAGGAATGTCTTTCTTTAACAGATTGCTGCTGAACATTAGACAGACCTCACTCTTGAGTCTACTGTGAAAACTTCTCTGATTCAACTGACATTTGTCACATATAATCTTAATTATCCTACTTTCTTAATTTATTGTACATGATATCTCCTCAATTGGACTGTTCTGAAGTAGTTTTACGAGTATAGTTGCCTTGGTTACCGATCTGCGAGGGAAGTTCCAGGAGAAGAACACCATATCCACGTCTCTGACTGTGCAGTTTACCGTCAGATCCTCTCCCTGCTTTAGGACCTGGCTGGACACAGAGAGCTCCACCTCCATCTTCTTAGAATCTGACATGCACACAAGTCAGACAGAGACATACAGAAGAGTGATCGGAGGGTTCAGCTGTATACTGAATCATTCCCATGTGAGAAGTTTGTAATTTTACTTAAAAAGATTAACTAGTTATTGTTGCCCGTTCAAAAATTATTAGTTATGCAGGTCAACTGGAAAACTGGAAAACTGTCCTGTTATGCAAATTAAAAATAACTAAAGTTAAACTGTGGAAAATAAGGTGTTTCTTTTTAAACTGTGTATTAAAAATCAATAAAAAATTTTACAAGTCTGAAAACAATGAAAACCAAGCTGCATTGTTTTGGTGTGTGTAATTTGACAGGTGAGTTGCACTGTAATTATGTAGATGTCACCATGGTTGTTTTTTTATAATAAAACACTCCCAGCAGGCCTGAAACATCCCAGGATTTTTGGGTGAGAAAATGTAAACAGTGAAAGTAAAATCATCACCGCCCTGAGAAAGTAAAGAACATGTGTTGATTAAAAGCAGCAGCTGTCAGTTAGTGTTCATATGATTGTTGAGCCTCTTTAGATCACAGCTTCAAACTTGATAAAGCCTTTTTTCCCATAATGAGTAAATCACCAAAACAATCAGACACTGTTGAATCAGAGGCTCTGCGCCATCGTCCCTCCTCTGTGTTTATGCCAGAGTTGCACGTTGCTGTCACGTGTGCTTCCACCAGGAAATTGTTGTCTCTATTTATGCATGTTGTAACGAAACTGTTTAAACCACAGTAATGTCTAATTAATAACTTTTGCAAACTGATAAGTTCCAAAGCTAATTAATGCAAAAACCAAATAGTTACTGTAACATGTTCCTTTATAATGTGTTAGTTCAAACACTGCAGGTGATTGAGGTTGACCTTACCAAAAACAGTGAAGACATAGAACACCTGGGACTCTTTCTCCTCGTCTCCGTTCCTGGCCACACACACATGTCCTGCATCATTCAAAGGACCCGTGAAGCCCAGAGCCGGCTCGTATTTCACCTTGTCGACTTTGGTTTTGTCAGGTCGTTCGTACAGAGAGACATTGAGCTTTGGGTTGGAGACCACGCAGGGGACAGTACCCTCATCGGTGTACTTGTAAACGTGGAGGGAACTCTGGGGCACAAACCATTGTTCTGGGCCTGAGTAGGGACAGTAAGAACATTGGATTCTTTACAACTCAACGTTTCGACCCAAAGATCAACCTGTTTGGTCTGTAACAAGTGCAAACTTTTGTTATAAGAGCTGTGCAATCTTATGCATGAGACCCCTGATCTTTGGCATTTCATTTTGCAGATTTTAGAAGAACTCTTCTAAAAGAATAACTGAAAACAATGTGTTCAGATGTTCTTGCCACAAATGCAGTTGTGGCAAGAACTGCATTTTTAATCAGGCCTTACTCTCTGCTACACTGCCAATGTTTCGTCGGCCTCAGAAGATGGCCTCTCACACTGAGCCAGGTTCTTATAGAGGTTTCTACCTGGTAAAATTGAGTTTTTCCTCTCCACTGTCACTACAAGCATGCTTAGTGTGAGGGATGCCTTTGAGTCAATGAGTTGATGAAATTAACTGGTTTTATTTAGATAGAATACTTTGAATCAACTTGATTGTTATGATCTGGTGAACTGTAAAGTGCCTTGAGATTATATGTGTTGTGAATTGCCACTATATAAATATACTGAATTGAATTGAACTGTTTGTCAGCTGTTGGACCAGAGAAGCCTGCATAAAACAAGTCCAAGGTTTTGTACTCCTACGTCTGTAAAGTAAGACCTCCTCTTGGGAAATCAGATCACAATCTTGTTTTCTCTGCTCAGAGTATAAGCCACTTTATAAAACACAACCTGCATTACAAAGAACTTTAAGAAGATGGTCACATGAAGCTAAAGAACCCCTGCAAGATTGCTTTAGGCTACAGACTGGGATGCACTATGTCAGTCAAATGGAGAGGACATCAGTGAAGTGACTGATTGTGTGACTGACTCAATAAACATAAAACTACATAACACCATACCCAGTAGAATGGTAAAATGCTTGCCCAATAATAAACCCTAGATCACCAGAAATCTCAAGGAGAAAAGCCTCTTTTTTTAATTCTTCAAATGTATTTTGTGACCAGAGTCAGGTGCGAAAAATATTGAACACCTTCCACAGTTACTACCTCTGCTGGTGTAATTAAGCACTGCGGCTGCTGTGCTTAATTCCAGTAGTTATTTGAATTTAAAATCCATTCTATGATTGGCAGTCTTAAGAGGTATAGAAGAGGGAGCAGAGGAGCAAGGTGTGTGCAAAGTGAAAGGTCAGGAAAAAAACAGGCAAGAAAGCAGAAAGAATAGCAGCAGACCAAACAGCAGTTGTTAAACTGGCAAAGGAAAAATATTTCATTTAGCAGATTACTCTACATATACCATGGAAGTAATTTTCGCACACTAACATTTCATGAACACTGATTCAAAGGTTTCAATGAAATTAGTTGATTTAAAAGGTTTCATTGGTTAGAATATTCTTCTAAAACCTTTTGGATTTGCGTGTTAGGTTTTTGGCACACATCTTAGATACAATGCATTAGAGAATGGTGGAGTCGGTCATTAGCAAAATGCACTGAACAAGTCTCAGAAATATGAATAGAAAACAGTGAAATTAATCCTGACTGGCCAGACAGCTCTCTGGGTGCTCGGCACCTAGAATCGCCCCTGTATCAAAGCATCAAAATGTTACACCCAGCATCCTTTTCATGATGTGGAGGCCTCTTGCTTCTCCTCTGAAGGACCCTCTGATCTCTGAAGAACTTGAGGGACCTTTTCACCTGGGTCCTAACTGCAGTTCTCTGATTCACCTTCAGATGTGATCCTACCTTGACCAGATATGAAGACGTCCACAGCTCTGCTCTGATCAGCTGACGGTTCCTCACACGTATATCTGCCAGAGTTCCTCCAGGTGGCGTTAATGAACCTCAGGGTGCTGCTGGTGCCTGCATCCTCCACTAGAACCCCATGACCCCCATCAGAGGCCTGAGGTAAGCGCCACTTCACTGAACTCCACCCTGAACACACCTAAGGAGACACAAAGAGGGGGTGATAGAGAAACAGTCAGACAGGTCAGAGGACAGACGGTCAGTGAACTCACCACGGTGAAGTTAGACTCTGAATGTAGCAGAACTTCGGAGGAAGAAGGCAACAGCTCCAGAGCCACGCCCCCTTCAGGATGGAACAGGAACACACCTGAACAAAGACGATTAAAGGACAGCCTGTCAATCTGACAGTTCTAATGTCTCATTCTAATCAAACCCATTCAGATGTTCATTTAGAAAGTTTATTCAACGTATAGAATATCTGCAAGAGTAAGCAGAACTCCTCTGTCTGCACAGCAAATAACCCAACTGGATCTATGATTAGAAACAACTTTTCCTCATTTTAAGCCAACTCTTCTTAGGCGAGAACCAATTGGTCTTCATTTAGAGCAACTTTTCCTCACTTGGAGCCAACCGTTCCTTACAGAGAAACACCTGTTCCTCAGACGGAAGGTTCTTTGTCTAGAACTTTTTTTTTTTATTATCAAGAACTAACTTTTCTTCATTTAAAACAATCTGTCATTTAGATCCAAAACCAGCCCAACTTTTCCTCTTAAAGGACGATCTGTTCCCCACTTAAAACAACTGTTCATCGGCAAGAAACCAATATGTTCCTCATAGAGAAACAACTGCTTCTCACTCAGAACCAATTGTTTCCCAGTCCTCACTGGGAACCAGCTGTTCCTCACCAACAACCCACTGTTTCTCACTTAAAACCAACTGTTCATTAGGAAGAACCAACTGTTTCTCATCAATAACCAATTGATTCTCACTCAGAACCAATTGTTCATCAGCAGGAACCCACTGTTTCTCAATTAGTTCAGTTCAGTAGCTTTTATTTGTCCCAGTATGGGCAATTTTGTGAAGTAGTAGTACACCTTTCACACACATGTTCACATTTCACAAATCACAGATAAAAAATAAAAGAAGCACAAGAGACACATAAATATTTAAAAAGATAAAAGTAAGGTGGATAAAAGAGACAGAAATGTAAAAAATATTAAAAAGTAAATAAATATGTGCAAATGAGAGCATAGACCTGAATGCATGCAACATATGGCTATCTGCTTTTCCTGGTAGAGTTTAGCAGCTGAAGAGCAGAGGGAATAAAGGAGTGTTTGTATCTGTTGGTCCGAACTGGTGGGTATTTAAAACGGGAACCAGAGGGTAGGAACTGAAATTCGTTATGTAGGGGATGGGTATAATTATCCAAAATGGACTCAGCCTTCCTGATTACCTGATCTTCCTGATTACCTTTTAGAACCAATTAGAACTACTGTTGCTCATCAGCAACCAACTGCTTCTCACTTACAGCCAGTGTTCCTCATTGGGAACTAACTGCTTCTCACTCAAAACCAGTTATTCATCAGCAAGAACAAACTGTTTCTAATTTTGAACCAGCTGTTCCTCACAGAGAACCAACTGTTTCTCACTTAGAACCAGTAGTTCTCAATGGGAACCACTGGTTCCTCACTGAGAACAGCCAATAAGACAGAACAGACTGACTGAAAAGGAACAAAGCGCTGAGCTGGAGTCAACAAAGCTCTGAGCTGGAGTCAGCTTTTCAGTTTCAATTAAAACTGAACCTTTCAGTTCTCATTTTTAATTCTGAAACTCACCGAGCAGGACGGGAAGCAGGCTTCCTATGGGTCCTCTGATGGATGCCCTCATGGCTGCTGATCCTGGTGAGTCGCAAACATTTCTGTAAAAAAAAAAGTCTGTTAGAACCTGAAGACAAGTTCTGGGTTATTAACCTGCTGACTAGAACTGATATGTATATGAATATATAAGTTTAAAAATGTGCTGCAGAAAAAGAAAACATAAAGAGATAGAACAGAAAACAGACCTTTAACAGGAGATCAATTTTTAGAACTTGTCTTCTGAACGCTGTGTGCTGCCAGGTGGAACTCTATGATAAAAAAAAATAGGTGTTGATGTTACTAAAGGTCACAGCTTGGTGCCACTGCTCAGGTTTGAGCAGGTTAGATGATGGTTAGCAGGGGATTATTTGCTATGGAGCTTCAATGGTTGCTGGTTCAAAACTCAGAGAATGACTGAGTCTGTGGCTGAATGTGCGCCCTAACCCCTGTGAGCACTACTTGGGGGTTCTGTAATTTTATCTGAGGTTCTGAAGGCCAAGTGAAGGTCAAACTCACGTCATATTGGGACTCTTCATCAAGCCTTTCAAAGGACCAGTTGCATCTGTTCAAATGAAAGCTTTGATCCAGGGATAGACAACATATCAGCATTAGCAGCAGAATCGGCCCATGTTAGTGACCTTTGAGCATTGTTCTGACCAGCTGGGCCCATATTAATAACTAATGTTTATTTCAGTTATCAGCCATGATGGCAGCTTTCATGTGAATTAAGTTAAATTCAGTGGAGTTTATTCAATTAGTGCCAAGTGATAACACATTTAATCGCTAGACTCTTTTTAGAGATAAATCAACCAGATCATACTGCCAGGTTTGTTCAGTGTTCATCTCTGCATTAAGACAGGGAGCCAGTTTTCTGTCTTTAAAGTTTTTCCTCTTCAATGAGGCCACATAGTCTAAGACAGTATGTAGAGAACTATCAACCCCTTTAGCAGACTCCTCAGCATGTGAAGGGGAATAAACTAAATGTTTGGCCTCTGCAACACTGCTCAGAGACACAGAGGAGAAAGAAAGTGGGAAAGATACTTTAAAATTTATAACTGCATTATCTGATAATGATCGGCTTAAGTGAAACAATCTTTTGGGGGAAGGATAACTTTGTAAAGTAATTGTAAAGGTTACTAGAAAGATGATATCTTAAGCTGCACTTAACATATCACCTTTAATATCACCGTGGATGTTAAAATCCCCCACTATGATCACCTTGTCAGTATTTAACACTAAATCAGATGGGAACTCATCTAAGTATTAAGAGTAAGGATCTGGTGGATGATGCAAAGTTACACAAAGAAGTGGTTGTGTTACTTTGTAATTTGGCTGAGGGAAACTAAAGGTTAAATATTAAAAGAGTTGTAATTAGTAATTGACTTTGGTGTAACCAGTACGTCAGACTGAAAGATTGTTGTTAATTTTCCTCTCCCCTCGCCGTACTCTTTCTCCTTACCCAGAATGTCTGGGTATGTGAAAATTTAAATAACTTTACCTGAAATAAAGTGCCTCATTTTTCCTAATATAATCCTCTTGCTGCTGCCAAGTGTCTGTAAGACAACATAAATCTATTTTATTTTCACAAATCAATCAATTAATTTCAAAAAGTCATTGCCTAACTCTTATGTTAAATGAATAACCTTTCATAGTTTTAACTTGGAGGAATTGGACTGATATGAATTTTAATGAGATTATCATGATTTCCTCCTTTTATAATTTATTTGATTTTGGTCATACGCAAGACACTGTCTGGATGGAGTAATGTGTGGGTAACAGTAGAGAAGCTGCAGAGAGGTCTGCTTCCTGGTCTGCACCCTGGGCTGTCAGGGTTTTGGAGAACTATTAAATCTGGCCACATTCCTAGAAAGAAGAGCTGCACCATACACATCGTTTCAGGACACATAGACAACGTAGAACACCAGAGAGTGAATGATGGCATGTGGCTAAACATGTCGTCACTGGTTAGATCAGAGACGGAACCAGAGAAAATTTAGGATAATTCAGTGTGAAAATTCATTCAGATTAAATTTCTGTTCTCCCCATAAAAAACTGTCTGGGTTCTGGCTCAGTCCCTGGTTCTGGTATTTTTACTTCAGGTGAGCAGAAACAGGCACCATCTGTTGAACTGTTTGAGCTTCTTCAAACCCATGCATGGAACAAATGACACACTGTGTTCAGCCATCCAATCAAAACTGGCCTTGATGGAGGCTCAGCCAATCGCAGCTGATTCTGGGAGGAAGGAATGTGAGTCTACCACAGAAGAAGAAAATAAACAGGAAGGTATTTCCTGTGGGCTGCAGAGCATGGAGAGAGCAGCCAATCAAAGAGCTGTGATGTCAAAGAGTTATTACTGATCAGGTGGCAGTTTCCATTGTTTTCCTCACCAGGATAAGTGAGGAAGACAATGTGGGACACCGGCCTCTAAGATAGATGATTCTGTTTATCTCTGATTCTGGTTCTGTTCTGACTTTCTGCCTAACTACGCCATCAACCCCCATCATGATGAAATACAGAACCAGGCCTGACTCTGAGCCAACCACAACTTTGCTCAGTAGTTCTGAGAACCTTCTGCAATCCAGCCAGGTCCAGGTTCCTCCAACTTAAGCTGGTTCCAATCAGATAAACCATGACTACGTAAATATTACAAGCAATGTCAGAACACTTTGCAGTAGAACAAGGTGCTGTTCTGATTTGATCTGGACCTTGTAGAAAATCACTGGACCGGGCCGAGCAGCTGGTTTCTTTGCAGAGTCGCTGATGTTCTTCCCAAACATCCCTGATGGTTTTGACAGCATGCCCCTGTGATTAAACCTCAGAACCTGGACTGCACCATTCTGCCACTGAGGTTATGTGACCCCCGGTGGGTACGAGCCTGGCTCCAGAACCAGGTTTTATGGATTTTTCCTTGGTTCTCCACCCCCAGCTGCCTCAGTTCAACCCAAATGGCTCGGCACTGTGACACAATCAGCTACTCTCACCTTCAACATGAGGGTGAGGCCCTGGTCTGGTGACTGACCTTCTGAACCTTCAGAACTACCTGACCAGGTGATGTGAAAAATCTACATAATCTCCTGCCAGATTCCCTGTGAAACTGTTTTGACCAGTTGAAGAACCTTTGACAGAAGGCCGGTTCTCATGAAGAACATTGAGGCGGTTCTTCCATCCTGATGTCCTGTGTTCATTAACAGGAACATCTCCATTAGAGGATGCTGATATCAGACTGTTCATTGTAGTGGACCAACGTCATGATGATGATGATACTTCTACCTCTGAAGGTTCTTCCTTTGGTCTGCTGTGACCTTAGAAAGGTTGACCACCATAGAAGAAGGGGGAGAGCACACTCCATCTGCTGAGGAGGCTGTTGAACTGGAGCGGGCACTACTGGGGAACTTCTCTGTCTGTGTGGTGACTTCAGCCATCTTCTATGGTGGGATGTTAGAGGATGGAGAGGATCCAGAGAACCTGCTCAGGATGTCCTCTGGAGACAGACTGACATCAGTGGGACAATGTCTCCCCCTCATGGATGAAGCCATCCCAGAGCTTCTTCAATAACAGACTGGTGACTGTAGGGTTACTCAGGAGCCTCCCCTCAGATCCCTCCTCCCAGAAAGACTTGACTCTGTTGTTGTTCCCTTGGAGGAACTTCTATGCATTTACTATTTGCTTCCTCACTGTGGAGAAGTAAAGGCTGTTTCTGGTCTTTTCTAGTCTCTTCTTTCTAATTAAATTATATTGTCCTCCTGATGATTCTGGTCCTAGTGCAGGTCCAGGTCCTGATTTCGTTCCAGTTTCTGGTACCAGCCAAGGTCCTGGTCCTGGTTCGGATCCAGAATCTGGGACCAGTCCAGGTCTCGGTTCAAGTCCAGGTTCTGGCACCAGTCCAGGTCCAGATCCAGGTCTTGGTTCAGGTCTAAATAGCTATAGACCTGTGAGTCCATCTTCCTGATACAAAAGTTAAGATCAGATCTGATGATCTCTGACAGAACAATCAGAACTTTAATGGTTCTGCCGTGCTCTCCGGGAACTTGGAGGTTCTGACATGTAGGGTTCTGAGCAGCCGATCAGAACCGCTGGGTCAACAGCAGGGCTGACTGCTGTTTTTCAGTTTCCACTCTGAGTTTTTCCATAGAGGGATTTTTTTTCTCCCCGTCTGGAAGAGTGACCTCATGGGGCTGAAACGCAGACATACTTTAACTGCTGTCAGTGTTAGCTGAGCAGAACCCAGCGACTTAGCAGAACCAATTGCCTCAGCAGAACATAGCCTCTCAGCAGAACCAAGCAGCTCAGTAGAACCCAGCAGCTCAGTGGAACCCAGGAGCTCAGTGGAACCCAGCAGCTCAGTGGAACCCAGGAGCTCAGTGGAACATGTAGAACCCCATCAACTAAACCAGTTCTCAGAAAAAAAGAATCTGTGGAAAGATTTAGTTTGTTCAAACCTTTAGATCCTCCTTCTCTGCTTCTTCTTCTTCTGTCAGGGTTTCAGCTCCTCTTCCTCATCATTCCTCTTCCTCAGCGCTCCTCTTCCTCAGCGCTCTTCCCCAGTCTGACTCTGATCTAGAAGAGTAAAATGAGGGAGAGAGAGACGTCTGTTTTCAATTCCTTTGCCCGCCCCCTCTTTTCCCTAACAGGAAGTGAGTACCAGCCCCCCCACTTACCCCCCTTACACACACATTCACCACCACAAACTACCTAATACACCCGTCCACCATAAGTTTATTTTGCATTGCCTGAACTGATCTACATGAACCTACATTTATGTTTTCTAAATAAATCACAGAAGACAGAGCAGATTTTTATGAGGCCCTGCTAATTAAGCTAGGTACATATTTATACATCAAATAAATTTATGCTTCTACATAATATATTCATTAAATAAGCTGATCTTTTTCTTGAATTATATAGAACATGCAGACATAAACTCTACCCTATAAACATGAAAAACACGTTCTTAATCCTCTTAAATTCTAGTCTACTGTTGTACAGAGTTAATTGCTGTATTTTTGTTGTCAGTTTTTTGTTTATCTAACTTTAAAATGTCAGAGTGGGATATTCTACATGATGGGATCATTGCTCCCACCTTCTGGTTTAGAGAAAAACTGCTGGTTCCAGAGGCAGTGAATTACATTCCCTCATTGGATGTGTTGGCCGCTGCTGAAAACCCTACTGCGTGTCAGCAGGGTTCCAGTCCAGGCTGACTGGGGTTCAAGGAGACAGAAACAGACATAGAAAAAGAAGCAGAGGCACAAGCCCCTTCCAGGAAACATAC